GCTTTTTTCTCCGTATCTAAAATAACTATGAAAAGGTCACTGAAACAATAAATACATCTTTAAAGCTGGATCAAGCTAATAAACCAAATATGCAAGCTAAAGATGATTAGCTGTATCACTTGTAAATGTTGCCAAAATTTAAACTCTTTGAAGGAGAAGATATGATTTCATGTTTCATTGTCCAGAAAAAAGAGATGTGGTCTGTGACTGGGAATTTATTCTTGAACTAGGTAAACAGTCTGTAACTATGTAAATGTTGTTGTGTTTATTGGCAGGCTCAAATGCTGAAACAGGAGCAAGAAGATTTGCTCAAAGCACAAAGAAGGCTAGAACAAGCCGTAAGTTTTCACAGTCATAGTGAGATTCTTTTAATCAGACTGTTTTTATGAAGACTGTTTGGTGTTAAAATGAACACTGAAATACGAAGTGGAATTTCATGGTCAGATTTTGTGGCTGTTCACTTTTGCCTTTTTACCAGCCCTAACTTGATGGTCCTTTCCTTGCAATGTTGTAACATGTATGTGTATGTGGTTGAGTGACAATTGTTTAATTTCATAGATCTACTTACATTCACATCTGTAATAATCTTTGAATGTGGTCAGGATTACTACAACTTGTGATTTGATCCTAGGAGGAAGATCGAAGGCTGCTGGATGAAGCAAGAAGAAAACGAGAGTTTGGGTTAGTTCATTAATGAATTGTACGATTAGTCTGTCAGTTTGTCAATCATTTGGTTTATGACTCTGTAAATCTCCTGCACGACAGTCCAGCGCTCTATCCATTGAGCTAAGCAGGAGGCGGTTAGCTCAGTCACTGAGTCAATCATGCAATCAATCATTCAGTCAGCTAGTGACTCAGTCAGTCAATTGGTCAGTCATTCAGCTATTTGGTCAGTCAATAAGTAAGACAGTCAGGTGTTCAATTGATCAGTAAGTGGGACAGTCAGTCAGTCAGTCAGTCAGCCAATTTTAAGGATCTAAGTCACTGGAAACAAGGCACTGGATTAACCTAAGTGAATCACTCTCGATGTCTTGCAATTTTGTGAAGATGATGTTTCAGTCATATTCTTGTGACTGTTTTTTAGGCGTGTCCTTATCCGTCAACATAAAGCTCAGATGAAAAGAAAGAGTAAAGAGATACAAGAGGCTTTGGTAAGACGTGACTGCTCACAATAAATGCTTGATTTAAATATCCAGTACAAAAAGTTATCTTCATGTTTAAATTTTAAACGTTCATCCTTTACTCCGAAATGAAATTTCAATGACTACTCTGAGAATGAATTCTAGGACAAGAACTTCTAGATTCTTTGCGTAAGTATAATTTATAACCCTTGAATTTTGCAGGAGCTGGATTTGAAGATTTTAGAAGCATTGGCCAAGAAGGTAGACATCTTTTGTATTTATCAAAGAGGCTTCTGTTAAATAGAGTTAGCTCAATTTAAATTATACATTTTAGTTGTTTATTGTGATTCAAAAGTATAGGTGCACACTGCGTACACTGCTTGTAGACTTGCAATTTACGTTACAGTGGCTTTCAAGAAAACAACCAAGTTCTCAGCTCAGAAAATTACTAATAAATCCAATTATGGGCATTTAAAAGTTTCTGCTTGAAAAGGATCATACCATTTAAGCCACAACCCGATGAAGAGAACTTAATTTCTCCTCCCAATTTACCAAATACGAGAAATACGAGATTTTTCTTAAAAGAAATCTATATCTATGAGGAAAAACTTTCTCAACCAGTGTTAACAGAAATCATGTGGAGATCAGATTTATGAAAATTTGTAAACAACACGCAACTGTTGTATTGTAGGCTTAAAAGGTTATAAGACAGTTCCAAAGAAGATCGTCATTCTAGCTTATATCCTTGGTATGACAGATCTAAGGATGAATATGGTCTTATACAGATTGACCAGAAATTAAATGGTTAGACTCGTTTACTAACCTTGCAAGTGGAAAGCTGGTTTTCTTTGTCTCAATTCTTTTAATGAATAGGAAGATCAAGATAAAATAATCGAGACTTCAAGACGAGAGAAAGCCCGCGCTGACGCAGAATACATGAGACAGGTAACAGTTTTTGAAATTTATTTCAAAATGTTTTTCTCTGGGAAGAAGTTTGAGATACATATACTTATTATGTTTCTTTTGAAGGTTGTTGAACAACAACTTAAACTTGAACAACAAAGGGAAGCAGAGTTAGACATGCTCTACAGGTAATGGTAACAATATTGCAACTGTAGTTTGTAACTATTGACAAGCCTTAATATAACATTCATAGCAGTTGTGACCAAGTTTGGAGACTAATGCTAGGTTGCGATGCGTTTGCTTAACTTTGGTTTATGATAGAGGTTCATACAGCAAACTTCCACCCTTCTATCAACTCGTTGGAAAAAATCTTAACTAAGTTTACACACTTGCGTCTGATTGTGGTCACCAGTTTCCAATTTTAGACACTAGTGTCCGATTTCAGGCACAAATACAGATTTCAGACACTAATGTCCGATTTTAGGCACTAGTGTCCGATTTCAGGCACAAATACAGATTTCAGACGCTAGTGTCCGATTTCAGGCGCAAATACAGATTTCAGACACTAGTGTCCGATTTTAGGCACTAGTGTCCGATTCAGACATAAGTATCCGATTATAGACACTTGTATCCGGAAAACTCGCTGAATGTCGCGACAAATAGATGAATGATAAAGTGAAAATTTGCAATACCTTCTTACTGTACAGTCGTTGTGATCCGTTATTAAAAAGTTGTCAAAAGTTCTTGGTCTGGTCTAGTATCTATCTTTTCCCTCTTTTTTCCTAAGAGTGCCAATAATTTTGAACCTTTAAAGCATTTAAAACTCCAACTTAGATCGGGTTTAAATTCTTCTTTTCATGCGTGATGAACCGGACACAATGTCCACCCTTTCTCAGAGATGACCGGACCATGCGTTTATTTGACCGGACTTTGGCCGTTAACCGGCTGTTATTTTAAGCCCTGATACTGTTTACTCTACATTGTCTAAAGTGCTGACAAGGAGAATTTGTTTAACAATCCTGAGCATCTGTAGTTGGTGATCATTTTCTTTATTCACGTGACCATAATATGTGGTTGAGGGGTGATGTTGTAAGGGGAAATTAGATGCTAGTCACTCTCAAAGATGTAAGGGTTATTTGTCGTAAATTTGTGATACATAGAGATGAAGCAGCTCGAATGTGGACCAAGAGAGAAGCAGAGTGGGAACGGGAAAGACTGGCCCGAGAGAGACTGATGGCTGAAGTAAGGAGAGCGCATTGTTGTTTACATCTGTTTTTTGAGATTTCTTCATAAAGTTATATTTTTTTTAACAGCTTGTCTTGTCCTCTGCTAGGTCTTAGACGTTCGGAGAAAACAGCTGGATAACAAAATGGAGGAAAATAAACGCCGGCAACAGGAGTCAATCGAAAGTCGTGAACAACTGTTGCGAGAATTAGAAGAAGTTCAGAGAATGACAGCAAGGGAGAAGAGTGAAGAGGCAAGATTACGGAAGGAGCGAGAAGAAGAAATTCAAGCACAGGTTCGAATCTGAAAAAATAAAAAACCCGTTCATTCAACTTCGCTCGTTACCCTTCAACTTTTACTTTCATCCGTAGAAACCCGTCTCTTACTGATTTTTCCCTTCCAACACTATCTTTTTTTATCTATCGAACTTGAACAGATAACTTCACGCAGAGAAAAGGCCAAAGAAATGCAACAAATTGAGAGAGAAGAGCTAGAACGGGAAAGGTAACAATGCTTTTATCATCAATAAAATATTTATGACTTTGAGTGATGGTGAAACTCTGTTTCCATGAAACTCATGGAAGCTGCTTGTAGTTGAAATGGCAGTTGCCTTATGCCTTTCAGCGACTTTCAAACGTTTTTGGTAAGGTAGTTTAAGTAGTTTACTGGTTTTACACATAGACTCAATGTGCGTGTAAATTACACATTTTGTTGAAGGCGAGAGAAAGAGGGATATGATAGGATGTTGAGACATGAAGCAGATCATATGAAAGCGAGAGGACCTCATGCAAGGGTTAGTGCAACATCTACATTTTGAACTGTTTCTTTACTCAAAGTTTGCTTGCTTCGTGTAATTTTTTTTATTCATACATATATGTGCATTATCCAACAAATGGGTGGCAAGAATCGAGAAACGTAGTGGGCTGTTATTATCGTCTGTTTGAAGGATAGTGTGTTGGCATTGTCTGAAAAAAAAAAAAAAAAGAGGCTCATTTGTGCCGAAATTTACCCCGTTTTCTCTGGCATGAGGCGATAGGAATATTTTTACAACCTTGGATGGCATTCTGCCCTGTCTTTTATCGGGTTACCTTGCGAGTTTAAACAGAGTCACCTCAAGCCTTATCTTTAATTTGACAACGGCAATTTGCATCCGTAGTTTGTTCCGAGGAGGAGAACAGCATTTGAATAGAATAAGTTTCATCGCATCAAGTGGATTGTTAACTTCACCACTCTGAGGTAACTGCGCACATATGGTTGCAAGAAAGTTTTGTGAAGCAAGTCGCCGACTTCTTCACAGTTCGTCGCGCAACAGCTTTTGGTCACTATCTGCTGTCACACGATCATGAAATAGTAACCACTGAATTTACCAGCATTCAAGAGAGGAAAGGGACGCTTTAAATGTTTCCTGCTGTAATACTAGCGTGTTAGGGCAAAAATTCGCACAGTAAACACTTCATTGAGGAGGACTCACAATCACGATAAGAAGTGTTCATTTCTCTAAGTTTTGATCGATACTAAAATTCGTTAAGATATTAGGTGTAAATAACAAATAAAAATAAATTGCGCGGGTTATTTCTCGAATTAATCTCTTTGCTTGGTTATTTCTTTGTTTGTGTGGTTTGTTTAGTGTTAAGAACAGTTCATCAAAAGCTTCTAACTTAAACTATGCTGTTTTCAAGGAAATAAAGACATAAGAAAATTTTCGCAAAATTGTTAATGCATTTAAAGTTTAAGACGAACGTCAGACCTTCATTCTACAAACTCTTTAAAATATCTTTTATTTTAGCTTCGTGTACCTTTAGCTCCCTAGGATAGGTTCAGAGTTACCACTCATCCAAGAATTAAGGTGGCAACTAAAGATTTGTTGTTTAACAACCCTATTTAAAACCAGCACCCACCTTAAAAAAAAAAAAATCAGATCAAAATATATCTAAATGTTTATTATCTTCTGCCGATGAAAGAACTCTATATTTCGGAAGAACTTGAAACACATCAGGGCGTCCACACAGCTTAACTTGACTACCGCCAGTGCAGTTGTTTATACCGAAAACTGAGAGTGGATCCATGAGCAGGCTTCAGTTCATCCACTCCCACAGGGGCTGTTTCTTCGTCTATGTAGATCATCCAATAGAATTTATCGACAGGTCTGCGTTGGACGCCACAGATGGATGTCACCGAATGGCCGTATGTGGAGGTTTGGGTGGTGAATGCATAACATGGATGTTTTTTAGCGGCTTCTTTCAGGATGTTGTGAGCATTAGTGCCATTTGCTACTGTCACGCACTTGGTGGGTGGAGGAGTTTTTCCTTCGGTGTCTTTGTTAGTGTCGACGAACCTGAGCTCAACGCAGACGGTTATATTCTAAGGCAATAAAAGGAAAAAGATGGTTTTTTTTTTTTTTTTTTTTTTTTTACTGTTCTACAAATGTTTAATCATAATTTCGAGCGAATAAGTCGCGATAAGTCTCAATTAAAATTCAGTCCGGAGCTGTCGCCGTGTCACGATGAAGGGGGGGAGGGGTATGGTGGGGGGCATAACGAAGATAGCCCCCGCCCACCTCCTCTCATGACTTTCTATGCCTCTCAAACTAGTAAAAATCAAATGAATTGTTTCTTGCTAATCTCACCTGTTGTTCTCTTTCATCTGAAAGGGAAAATTCAATCGCGTTAGAAACTGAAACTTGAGGAATTCACACAACAAACCCATTCAAATTAAAGAAAAGAACTCCGGTAAAGTTTTGTTACTCTCACAGCAGACCAGCTCTTGCGTCAGAGAAGGGACAAGCACAGGTGGACAATAGGCCAACGCGCCTGCACATGCAGCGGATTCGGTTAAAGTCGTTAGCTAGTGTAGGAAAGTGGTCACAACTTTTCCTGTAAAACACTGTTTTCAATTACCTGTAGTTTTAAGACACACTATGTCTTTGACATCGTAGGGTAGTGCTCCGATCAAGGCCGGTGTGACATATAGTGTGCTGAGCAAGTTAATGAAGGATCCATCAGGTTTTTGACGAGACACCAGCCAGCGTAAAGTCTCAGAACACTTTTTTGTCTTCCCTTTGGCTGCTAAAAGAGCCTGGACATGCAGAAATGTGATCAGTGCAGAAAATCACTCTACAGATTCGATACGTTACAAGCTTGATAGGTCAAATGGAAGGAAATTATTTGGCATATGATGTTATTTATATAAAACGCTAAATTCCTACGACAAACCAATGATGATATGTATGGTAATCAGAAAGGAGAATCAGATTTGAAATCAGCAGAAAATTGAGAGGAGACTTATCGGTTTTGTTGTATGTGTAACGTCATTGCTGTACATGTAAGCTGTAGCGAAATTCCTTCTTTACGATTTAGGGTTGCCCTCTCAAGTCGGTTTTTTCATTGATATTTTCCAATTTAATTTGCGTTTTTAAAACCTGTAATAATAATTTTTTAGTAAGCAATTCCTTAAGACGCTCAAAATTCTTAAAATTTTCTTGACATTCCCCTTTAAAATCACACAAGATGGATTGCGTGACAAAGATAAAGAAAATTTCCGTGACAGAGAATTGGTAACGTACCTGAGAAGCAAGAGCTGCTGTGACTTCGTTTCCCCCAAACGTGCTGTCGTTGATTTGAGCCTTGAGAAATTTTCTACCTCCCAAATGAACAGCTCTATGGATTTTCTTTTCAAGTATCTTCTTGTTCAGTCCTTTTATGGAATTCTTAACACAGGTCAACGCCATTATTTGCATTGCAAGCGTCTCGGATACATGGTAACTGGCAACGCTCGATTCAATTACCACCTTCTTACGGATTTCATCCACATAGCCAAGCATTTGCCTGTTCAGAGTTGTGTTGCTGCTACAGAGAGCCATTACAGCCAGGCTGTATTGAAAAGAGTGATTAAATCCCAACTGAGGGAACTTGTTTAGTTTGTCTCTCAGGCTTCTAACCAAATTAACATCATAAAAGCGGCTGGGGTCTTTGCACGTGGCCAAGGCTCCAAGTATATAAAGTGCTACCCTTCCCCCGGTCAGTGAACCGATGTCAGCTTTAGTGAGCTCCGCATTCAGATGCTTAGCACCAGTGCTCACAGAGTGACCAGTAAGACGTAGAGAGTTGAATGCAAACGCACTCACGTGACCCAACCCGTAACTTCCATTTTTGTTTTGTTGATTCTTTAACCATTCGGCAGCTCTGATGGCTGCGCGCGTGATGCTTGTTCGCAGAAGTCTGGCACCTGAAACGCGTCAATTGTGGACAATGAGCTACAGCTTTCGCTTTTGAAACTTCAGACAGGCATTGAGGACTAAGGCCTATTATCACTCAAAAATAAACTGTGAAATTGATGAAATGAAAAAAGAAAAAAAAAAAAAAAAAAAAAAAAAAAACAGCCCTGAAGGAGTCTACCTCAAGCTAGCAAGGTAAGGAAATCCTAAGGGGACACCTAACAATGTGCTGAGTTGTGGTTCTTGAATCTTCCAGATGCGAAAGCTGTGACTTAACTCATTTAACACTTACATAAAAAGCATGTTAATCATATTGCTAAAACGATGGGCAAATTTGTATAATGAGTCCAACAGCCCAACTTCGCACCTAGTATAGTCAGTTCGGAGTCTGGTCTGTTCTCCCTTTTTTAAATTTATATTTTTCTCTCAATTTAAAATCCATGTTTCATTTTCGCTTTCAAATGTTTTTTCCTCCTTTTTTTTAAGCAGAATGACAGAACAAAGGTTACTGCCACACGCAGAGATGGAAAATAACTTAAGTTTACCAATATGACGCAAGTGATAATGAGATTTGGCAACAAAATTTATTTTGCACATATACGAGTAGTTGGGTTTCATTGTTTCATATGTGGTCTTTCATCTGCATCAGGGTGAATCAGAAGTTACTCGGTAAACGGTGAAATGTATAAGACTTGTAAATTGATTTGCTGTAAATTAATAGACGTGAGGAAGGTAACGTTATAAGCCCGAGATTGATCTTTTAGTTATCACGTTCCTGTAAAAATTGTATCCCAGCGATCAATACCCAGGAAAACAGAGTCGAAGACATGCTTCTTAAGTCGTTCGCGTGAACAACATCAGCCGATTTGAAAGCATTGTTACTGTGCGAAAGTTAAAAACCATGTACGCAAGTAATACCGAGATCTTTCTTTATTCTTTAGCTCTGCGTATCGCGTCGTCAAATGTGCAGAGCGTAAGATGTTTAGCTGTAAGGCTTAAAGAGCGAAGGAAAGGTAGAAAAAGTCGCTGCCTTGAAAACTGCGCACGTCAGATGTGATGAAATATGCTGGGTTAATTTAGCATTCCTGTAACATAGCTTGTATAATTTAAATGTTCTGCTTAAATGATTCGTATAAGGAATAGCCCCACACATTTCTTACCGCAATATCCTCTGGCTTGAGAGAAAAGGGCAGCAATCACTAGGATCGTCAACAGTTGGAAGTTCATGATTGCGAAAAATTCTTCTTCACAGTTATATGATCTGATAAAAAGCGTGTCTCTTCAGATTCTATTTTCGAGTGCGCCGACAAAAAGCATATGTTCTAGAGGAAGTGCAGAGGTTAATCCGTTCCATATCACATTACCAGTGGGTCCCAGACCCTGGCGGCGTGGTTAGGCAGGCACAAATAGGACCAAGAAGATATCCGCGTCTGCGTGAAAAAAAAAAGAAAAAGAAAAGAAAAAAGAAAAAAAAAGGATTAGTAGCTTTTTAAGTTGAATAAAGAAAATGCCTGGTTCATATTTGAGTCAACAGACTTATATCTAACTAATTAACACCGGTCGGAAACGAATGATGTACATGTACTTGAAAGCCATAGATGCCATATGCCTGCTGCTCCTGTAAAGTTAACTGAAAAATTGATAATTTGGATATATCAACAAAGTCGAAATGGTAAATTGGCCACCGTAACGATTACAAAAGCTGATGTTTCGAGCGTTAGCCCTTCGAAACGTCAGCTTTTGTAATCGTTACGGTGGCCAATTTACCATTTCAACTTTGTTGATATATCCAAATTATTTCGTTACTCCCACCGACGCAGCCCCAAACACTTTCTTTCGAAACTATCAGCCTTTATTCATTTGAAAAATTGATAGTTTTCTACCTAGATATCTGGTAAAATTGCTTTGTTCGTCCTATGGGCTGATATATTTATGATGCGGGAGTAAGTTCTGGCAATGAACAGGCAACTTTCCTTGATTGACGTAAAGTCGATATCCCCCGCCGCTCACTGGAGAAGCATCGTGACGCCCCAATAAAGTCCAAACCCAAGCGCGGGAAACTAGTCAAATTTTTTGCGGTTGTGTTGTTGTTTTGTTTTGTTTTGTTTTCTCTTATTTTTTATATATTCGAATATTGTTTTACAATTTTTTCCAGTTTTTTTTTTTGTTTTTCCCTCAAAATCGAAAAATTTATAGTTATCAAATTGAAGGCATGTTAAGCTTTTCTCCAAACTTGAAAGAAAATGGCCAATAGTCCTTTTTAAAGTTGTGGGCTTGGTGGCCAAGCCTTTGAACAGGAATGAGGCTTAGGGTGACCTTGTTATGATAAATATGTTGCTGCTTTTCAAATGCAAATTACCTTGTTATCATGCTAACTAGATACAGGTCTCTATCACAACAGGGTCACCCTTAGCCTCACTCCTGTTCAAAGGCTTGGCCACCAAGCCTACAACTGTAAAAGGGACTATTCTTGCAAAAACGCCACAATAAGTCATAAACTTCTATCCAACTAACTGAGGTCTGCGGAAATCCTGAATCTCCTTACTCGTCCAGGGCCTGGGGGGGACGGGGGTGGACATTGATTCCGCTTTTGTCGATCCCAGTACTCAAGCAACTTGTTGGATAAATGATGAAAATTTGGTGAAATTCGCGTGCAAGACAATATGTAGAGAATTGTATCGCTAAAGTGGACCCAGTCAGGGTTTACGGGGAACTTGTCTGTGATATTTTATTTTTAATTCTATTTTGTGTGTTCGTTTGTTTTCCCATTTCATAACCCGTTGATAAATAGTGTTCTGTATGCTTTTTTTTTCGTAAATGAACAGACTTATTTACCCAGTTAATCGCAAGTTTACTTTTTTGTACATCCTTCAACCGAGGAAATGCATTTCGACACAATGGGATACAAATTGTGTGGTTAACATTAAAACCTCATATCTAAGGTAAATCACTCCTACTTTCACATGTTTCTGGAGTTGGTCTCTGCAGTCGGTGGTTGATGTATTATATACAGACACAACGAAAGCGGCCAACGCCAGGGTTCAAATCCTGGTCAGGGAGGTTATAGTTTATGATTTTACATTCATGATTTTATTTTTTTAGTGTTCGTTTGTTTCTCATTTTTTACTTCGTTGATAAAGATTATCTACAAATGTGTTTGTATGCTGATTCATTTATCGTAAATAAAAGGACGTCGCCACATTAAAGCTGGAACAGCTAGAAGTTTGCAAGACTTTTAGACTTTCCTGTGACTCTAAAAATGTGATTTACTTGGCTTCCTGCAAGAAATGTCTCCTGCAATACTTGGGATCTACTACAACCGACTTTAAAGTGAGATTTCGAAATCACAAATCTGCTATGCTCACAAACAAAACAAGTTGTGAAGTAGCAATACACTTTAACAAAACCCCACACATCCTGGACGATTTTTCGTTCCAATGCATTGATCAGGTACAGGCCCCTAGTGGCTCTGTAGAGATCGATGGGCTTTTAATCACAAAAGAGGCTTATTGGAGTGCTCAGTTGTTCTCTTTGGCACCCCATGGTTCGAATAAAAGAAAGGAATTTCATTCGAAAAATAGAATTTGCTATAATTAATTTTCCATCTTATATTAGGCGCTACTAATTGATCGTTCAAAGGCCCTTTTCTTGGATTTTGTCGGCCCTTTAGGTATGGACTGGACTCAGAGGCTCTGCCAAGGGATCTTATTTTGATTAGTATCATTTAAGGGCCC